ATATATATATACAAGAACTGTTGAAAATCATGTAGCTACACTGTCTTGTATATTTTATGTACCTATGTCCTTAACCGATTCACTACAACCAATTCACTGACACGGTGTGCATACCGCAGATTGGTGACTTCCGAACCGAGAATCGATTTCTGTTTTTTTGGGGGGTTGTTCTGGTAAATCAGAAGATCACAGTTACATTTTGGTCAGTAGCCTCCGAACTTTTTGTTTTAGTGATGTTTTAAACAGTACATATTTATATGATATTTTTAGGGGGCGGTTTATTCGGCGCGGCCCAAAAACCAGCGACAGGCGGTTTATTCGGGAGCACTGCGAATTCACAGCAACAGCAACCGGCCGCCACCGGCAGTCTATTCGGAAACACAAGCACAATTGCGGGTGAGTGGTTTATATTCTTCCTGTGTATACATATGGGGAATGGCAGTGTACATGCGTGTATGTGTACGTGGATGGGCAGGTACTCTATCTTGCGCATGGTGCTGCACACCACCATACATACGTACCACACCCAACGGCAGTCATCAAGCACAGCCCGCGCAAACCACCAGCGCTCTAATTTGGCACAGACCGATCTATGTCATGTTTCTATACCCAATCCCTTCGAGGAGTGCGAAATATCAGCCTGGCTTATTCACCAGTGTGTCTGGCGTTCACACACACACACACACACACACACACACACACACACACCTACCCACCACCACCACCACTAACGTACGCAACGGGTTGGTTCAGAACTATCTCGCGATCTTATAGTCACCGCTGCTTGCACCACCCCCTCATAGGCTCTACCAATATATTCGGGGCGAGCAAGCCAGCGACAACCCAGGGCGGACTGAGCTCAGGGGGGAGCATGTTCGGTACTCAGAGTACCAATGCACCTGCAGGCGGAGGACTATTTGGCAGCACCAACACGGCTACCACTACTGGGGGCGGCATGTTCGGGCAGCAAAATACGACTACGGGATTCGGCGCACAACCTGCTGGTATATATTTAGTCTTGTGTGTGTGTGTGTGTATTTGTGTGTATTTGTATTTGTATGTGGATGTGGATGTGGATGTGGATGTGGATATGCACGTGTATATGTATGTGTGTGTATACGTGTATGTGTGCGTGAGTGTGTATATTATATAAATATATATATATATATATATATATATATTTGTGTGTGTGTGTGTGTGTACGAATAACATCGTGCAACTGTGTATCTATTCCGATATTCAATTCCACCACAACATTTGCACGCTGTTTACATTCGTTCCTTTTGTCTTATGTACTACAGCGACCCAAACGGCGCATTCGGACCCGATTGTGAACGAAATTACAAAATTAAGGACAGTTTATGACGAATCGGATTTCAATCCGAACTACCGCTTCAAGTTCGCGTTCTACAGTGCACTCAAGGATGAGATTCTGAGCAATCTAGGCCCGAACGATATTGTACAGGACAAATTAACAGAGGACGTTAACTGGGATGACGAAACTAGACAGGTGCGTAAGTGTACATACTAAATATACAGTATATATATATATATATATATATATATATATATATAGTATATATAGTATAGTATATATAGTATACTAATT